GGCCTCGCCGTGCGGAGCCCGCCGGCTCGCCGTTGGGAGGGCAGGGTAGCGGCTCTCTGCCCGTGCCCTGGCGCAGCGCGGCCGTGGGGAGCGGTGTGCAGCCCTGAGCGCCGAGGTAGCGGCGGGACGGGGCTGCGGACGGAGCGCCCAGGTAGGTTACGGGGTGGGTGCCTCGCAGGGAGCATGGCTGGGGGAGCGGGGCAGCCCGTGTCCCCTGGGCTGCGGTTTTACACCTGCGCGGCGCTCCGCGCCAGGAGGTGTTTTGTGAGGGCTTGACCTGTTGTCGGAGCTCGTACGGCCTCTCCGGTGCGCGGCCTTCTGAGGTGAAACCGCCCTAGAAGCGGAGCAGTGTCCGGAATGACCGCTTCCCCCTCCTTCGTCCAGTCAGCCTTCTCCAGCCTTCACAGATGAGTAGTGCTCGGGTTGCCAGCAGCCTGCCCCGCTGGCGTCGGGTACCCGCTGCCACCAGGAGACATCTCTGTCCTTGGGCGGTGCTCAGGTGTCACATACCTGACAGCTTCTTTCATAGCTTTTAAGCGTGTTTCTATCTCTGTAACCTTAGCAAGGTTTTGGTGTTAGCGTTGATCCCTTTTTCTAGTTGCTAATATGGGTACGGTTCCTATCATTGCTAGTTGCCGAACTGTCTGTGGGAGCTGGCAGAGGGTCTGCAGCAGGCAGGAGCTCTGCAGGTGACGGGTAAGGGTGTAACCTTCCTTAATCCTAGCTCCACTGCCCAATACTAAGAGGCAAATGACAAGTGATGAGTGCTCAAGACCAGAAGCTCTTACAGAGTTCAAGAGATAAGGGATGGAGAGCAAGTCTCGGCAATGGAATACGAGTATGGAAAGGATAGAGCAGTATAGTCGTTTTTGAATGTGGTAACTTGTGTAAGCTCGTTGTAGTAGCAGGCAAGAAGCCAGTGGAGGGATATACAGGAGGGAACTGTGAGGTCAGTTTGACAAGGAAACTAAACAGACTTCTCAGCTGTGTTCATCTCTTTCAGGTCATTAACAAATGTCTAAAAATCTGGGATGGTGGTGTAGTAGTTGTGGTAGGAATAGGGGCTAGAGGCAGAAAATCCCTGGTTGAGAATTTCTGTGACTTGGGCCTGGGATATTTGTGGCATGGGGCTGAAATGGGCTGGAACGGAGATGTTTAAGGTCTAGCTGCTGTTTCTGATTCCTGGTGCCTGGCCTGTTGCTACAACCACCAAACCTGGTAGCTGTGTAGCAGACTCCATTCCTCTTAATGCATCGACAAGTACTAGAGCTGCATCTCGGCCTTCTGTTTTTTTTTAAAAAAGTTCTGTCACTATGAAGGTGACTTATAAATGGAAAACGCTGTCCATAATGTTATTTAATCTCTTATTTTTGCACAACATAAACTTGAGCTTTTATGCTGGTGCTACAGGAGTACTTCATGGACCGCTGTGGGATGGGGCGACAGCATTTCTGACGTGGATTTAGTTTAAGTGCAGTACGGTATTGAAAGTCAAGTCGAGCGTTCAAGTGTCCTTCAGGAGTGAGCAGATGTCGTTTTCCTTCCTGACAGTGGTGCAAAGGAGTGGGCAGCCTGGCAGCACCTGACTCCTAGGGAGGGTCTGCCTTAAGTGCCCCTTGTAACTCTTTGTTTAGGCTGTCACAACTGTTATCCAATGCCAAATTCACCTTTTAAAATTCTCCAGAGTAGAATGGGGTGTATCGGCTTGTTATAGCTGGCTTTTGCTATAAAGCAGTTAGTTATTTATCTACCTAAACACTGACATATGCTGTATTCCAGATAGAATTGTTTCTGAACAACATCTTGCATAATTAGCTGGATGAGCAACAGCCTGATCGCTAGGTGAGGAACACAGTATTATCAAGGAATACACTACATTACTTTGATCTGCTTAACTGAAAGCTTTGGCAGAGAAACTGTAATACAGGTATGCTGTATTACATGTTTTCACCTCGTCTACAGTATCACTAATTAGAAGAGTATAAAATCATAGCCACTTAGCAGGCCTTCTGTTGCTGGAAGATTTCTGAAACTTACTGCGTTGCTGGCACAATTACCCTTTTAATTTTGAAATACCTTCTAGTTTGTAATTTGCTTATACCGAGTGACTCTTACGATAAATATGTATATACGCACACACACGTATTTGCTACCACAGTTATTTGGAACATTTAAGGAAAAGTCTGCTCTGTGAAGGAAAGCATTTACCAGCTTCCTGCTACTTTTTTTTTTTCCTGGAAAACTTTTTTTCTTTCTCTGTGCTTAACTCTGTGACGTTGGGTCTTCTCTATCTTTTTTCGTTGGTGTTCCCAGTCTCTCTGTTTCTGATAGCCATCTTGCTGATTTATTTCCACTGTCGTTCACGTGTAGACTATTTCCTCCGTGCTGCTGCCAGTGCAGGATGAAATAATTTTGGGATTCCTACCTTTTGCTTCCCTGATACAACTCTGGAGTAGTTGTCTAGAAAAAATTAAAAAAAAAAAAACACAGGGTGCTTATAGCAAAGATCAACATTAGCATTCTGAATGCTGTTTTGAAATCGATGAATAATAACTAAGAAATGAAGCACTGTTTCCCCTGGAGGTGCCTGGGAGGCCGCTGTGGCGGTGGGGGGCTGGAGCCAGGGTGCCCCATGCAGCATTGGCCTGTGCCCGGAGCTGGGCAGCAGCTGAAAAGCAAAAGTTCCTGCCCTAACACTGCTGGCCAGGCAACTGCTGTCCCTCTTTTAAATTTCTTAGTTGCCTGGGAAACAGAGCGGTATGTTTCTGTGGAAATGGGAATTTCAGTCCCTCTGGCTAGCGGCTGCGAGGGTTATGAAACGGCCCTGAAGCGAGCACAGGCCTCCAGGCTGGCTGGCTTGTCGCAGCTTTAACCTGCGCAGGCTTGTGGCAAGGCGCCTCGGTTTGCTAGGGGGAGGCGCTGCCTGGTTGGGGGGGGGTTTACTCCTACAGAGCTTGAGGTGATTCATAATAGAGCTAAGAAAAATTTTGTGAAGTTGCTCCTTCGTTTATGGTAGCAAGCAACTACTTTGCAGTTAAAACAATTTTTTGAAGATTAATTTTGTCTTGCCCTTTATGTAGCTCAAATAAGCTAGATGTGTTCTTTATAAATAAGATTTCCTTCCTGTAACAGTTCCTTTGAAGAGAACTACAGCCCTAGATTTAGGAAAAAATAGTGATTTTAAACATAGAGGGTTTTTTTAACTATATTCATTCCATATATATATAAGAGAAAATAATGAATGAGAGTACCTACTAAGGATTCTTTCTTTTCTAACCATGAGCAAAAATTTAACTGTTTTTTTTTTTTCTTTTGTTTAAGTGGAAGTGACATTCCTAAGATTCGTAATAACTTTATTTATATATTTATAAAAATATATAAATAAAACCTTTAGATATATTTCCTATGGAAATTAATTGTCAAAAAATTATCTAGACAGTGGAATAGAATTGTTGTTCAGCTTCCTTTCATTATTGACACATTTCTTTAGTTTCAGTGTCTGGAACATCACTTAGAAATGTGAGGTTATTAATGTAGAGACCTAAAGAACCTAGTGTTGCCACAGTGGCTGATTGGAAAAGCTGGAAAACAAAGGTCTGTGGCTGCCCAGTAAAAAGAGAAATCCCTTGTGGTCTTTAGTGAGAGCAGTGCAATACAGAAGTAGGTTTAGTATCAGTGTTGGGAATGTATTTTGCTAAATGTCTGTAGTACTAATTCTCTTCAACTAGGAGACTACACTAGTTAGTTATAAATGCTAACACACTTTATCGTTCTTCTTTTAAAGGCTAGCTCTTAAGAATTATGTCTCTCTCTCTAGTAGATTTTCTTCCGACTGTTGTCAAGGTCTCTTTAAAAAGTGGAATTCAAATACGTGAACCAACATTTTATATTTATTAGCTGAAGAAATGACCTGAAGGGTGTTGGATAGATTTTTTTTTTTTTTTGAAAGCTGAATTAATCAAAATTGTTTTCAACATAAAGTTGACTTGCTCAAAAAACAACATACAAGTACCTCCTTGAATCGAACTTGATTTTTTGGGTGACGATGGCCATTAGATTTTTTCTTTTTTTTTTTTTTTTTTTCTTTAGTTATTAATCAGCCTGGCTTTACAGGGCAAAAGAAATCTGATCAGACTTGGTTGAACACTTTTACTTTTGGGTGTACCAGCCTATCTCGATAAAGTGAGATAAGCCACGCTTATTTCTGTACAACCAGAATAGGTTTCTCTGTTCAGAGCTGATTTAACTCTCAATACTCAGACCCTGGTTCTTTTAGCTTCTGACTTCCATCAGGTTAGCTCTGTGCCTTTTGCAGGAACAATGCTGCTTCACTTACTTATTGTAAATTGTTTATTAGTTAGTGCCAAATTTAATCCTTAGTGGCTTTCATGATTCCAAATGCAATTTAAGGTTTTATTTTCAAAGGAGAGTATATTTAACAATTCCATTCCTTTTAAGTAGATTCACTTAAAATAAATCAAACTTTGTTAATCTTGGTGTCAATGAGAAATGCTAATAGATCAATGCAAAAATATGTTAATGCATTAAAAAGATCAGGAGGGCACATCTGAATAAAATAACCTCCTTAAAAACATCTCACAGCTAGTTATCTTCCTGACTGAATCCGACAAAGGTTCAGTAGCACTTTGTGCAGCTGCATTAGCCCAGCTGCATGTTATTGTTTTCACATTCAGAGTTAGACCCTAAATTGAGAGTCTTTGATACTAAATGCTTGGACAATTTCTTTTTGCAGCGTAGCAAAGTCTACAGAGTTGACTAGAACTGATGAAGGGGACAGGAAAATGTGACGCAAAGAGAAGGAAAGTTCGTACTAATTTCCCCATTTTTTTAACAGAATGAAAAACGGAATTATGATTTATTATGAAAACTGGCATTAGAGTTACTGTTACTTGTGACTTTACAGTGTGATTTCAGTAAGCTGGCAAGGAAAAACAAGGCAATCTTACAAAGGATGGAAACCGAAAGTTAATTTTTTAGTTTTGTGCTTAAAGTAACCCAGGAATAACACCACGAGTCTAATTACTGTTAGTGGTATTGTATTTAAGGGCCATTGAGTGAGACTCTCGTTTGTGCCAGAACCTAGAGGTAGCTTTTAGTAAATTTGACTGCTTAATACTCTGATGACTATTTATATTACAAAAGTAACCTTTGAAAAAAGTTAGGGGAGAAAAAGAAGTTTCTGTACTTACTGTTCTATTCTTATGTTGAAAACGTTACTCATAGTGGGAGAAAATTTTCATGATTCTTAGGTTATTTAGAAACTTTAGTTCTAACTTTTATCACTCTCTTCTACTGTTTCCCACTGTAAAGAATATCTAGTAGCAGATTGCTGCTTCTCCTAGCTTTTTAAGGCAGAAGTTGGATATGGGTGAACACTATCTAGTCACGTAGATCATAAGTGCAGATCATAATTTGCTGAAATCTTTAAACCGTTGCTCGCTTTCATTCTTTTTTTGTCTTTTTTCCCCTTAGCAATAAATTGCCCATGTTACTGGTCGCTAAATGTCATGCTGAGGCGCTTAGGATAATAAAATGATTTTAAATGAGTTGATCGTAAAAAGAGATTAAACCGCTTTTTCTTTTTGTTTTTCTTTTGTAGGACATGCATCACTTTGAGGAAGAATTAACGTGTTCCATTTGCTACAGCATATTTGAAGATCCACGCGTTCTGCCCTGTTCCCATACATTCTGTAGGAATTGTCTGGAAGGTGTTATTCAGCTGTCAAGCAACTTTTCCATTTGGAGACCCCTGAGAGTTCCTCTGAAGTGTCCTAACTGTAGGAGTATTGTTGAAATTCCTGCCGCTGGTACGGAATCGTTGCCTATCAACTTTGCGTTGAAAGCTATTATTGAAAAATACCAACAGGAAGATCACTCTGATGTTGCAACCTGCAGTGAACACTATAGGCAACCGCTGAACGTTTACTGTCTTTTGGACAGAAAATTGGTGTGTGGCCATTGCCTTACAATAGGAAAACACAACGGTCATCCGATAGATGACCTTCAAAGTGCCTACATAAAAGAAAAGAAGACCTCTGGAAAACTTCTCGAGCAGCTAACTGATAAGCACTGGACTGATGTATGCTTGCTTATTGAAAAGCTGAAAGAACAGAAGTCCCAGTGTGAAAGCATTGTTCAGGACGATAAAAAAGTCGTAGTACAGTATTTTAAGAAACTTAGCGATACCTTGGAGCACAAAAAACAAGCTCTGCTGACTGCGCTGGATGAAATTAACACACACATTTTGGAAGAATATCAGCCTCTCATTGAGAAGTTGAAAAAAATAAGGGAAGAACAGCTGGAATTAATGTCACTGAATACATCTATTCAAAAAGAGGAGTCCCCACTTATTTTTCTTGAGAAGGTGGACGATATGCATCAACGTATAAAAGCTTTGAAACAGAAGCAACTACCGGATGTTAAACCTGTGGAGATTTATCCGAGGATTGGGCACCTGTTGAAAGATGTGTGGTCTAAAACTGAAGTCGGTCAGATCAACAAGATCCTCACTCCAAAAATAAAACTGATTCCGAAAAGGAAGTTACAGAGCAAAGGCAGTGGAAAGGACGGGAGAGAATCTCAAGAGCTCCTCCAGGCTGTAAATCCTTTAGCAGTCCTGCTTCTTTTTATAATAGCGGTAACTGTGTTTGCATTTCACAAACCGGTATCATCAGTTGTAGTTGAAGCTACTCCCGCTTATATCTCAGAATTCTTGCTGCTTATTTATCAAGATTTCTGCACCCATTTGCAGAATATAGTGGATGTGCTGTGCCGAACACTTAATTTACTGATGGGGTTTTTTGGGGGAATTGTTTCTCTTTGACTATTTCAATAATTGGATTAAAAGTTAGTGTAGGAATCCACAGGTTTTTTCTTTTTAATTCCTACTTAAAAGCTGGATTGTTAAAGCTTTACACTTTTCCTTTCTATTTCCCTATCCTTCCTTTTTCTGTACTGCATAGATTTCCTCTTAGCTAACTCGTAGTTAACTGAGAAGACTTGCAACAGAAAGGCTTCCTCTTCTGCTCACACGATACGGTAGGTTGGTAGGTGTTTGTTTAAATTGGAAGCTAGTCAGAAACAGTGTCTGCATGAGAAAGCTGTAATCAGCTTACAAATGATAATCTGGAGTCCCGTTTGTAAAAACTCCTCAAACATCTACTTTTTTTTGGTAACATAATTTTAAATTGTTTCTTTAATAAAAGCACTACAACATTAAAGGTTAAAAAACCACCTCAGGCTGCAAACTGGCTAGTCCTGGACGGGTCAGTCTCTAGCTCTGGTGTATATAAAACTCCCATTTTGTGTTTTACTAATGTCTCTGAATGTATTTTAACTGATACACCTGTGGTCTTTAAAGTGTATATTCGTGGCCCTGGGTTTCATTTTGTTTGTTCCTGGTTTACTAGTGGATGACATGATTTAATTCTTCCTTTTTTTTTTTTTAACCTGTGTGTAATAACTTTATGTCTTTCAACTGGTTCTCTCCACTTTACAGAGCAGTATCTGTAGGACTTCTGGTGAAACACTGCGTAGAGTTTTTCTGTGCCAGCTGTGCACAAATCAGCAGGGAGCTCTCACTGCTCACTAACATGAGCCCTGACTTTTTGCTAAACCATTTAATATGTAGTGAAAATGGACACAAACTGTAGTAAGTAGCAAAACTCCCATTGAGGTCAGTGGTATAAGGATTTAAATGTTGTCAAGAGCTCTTAAAGCAACTTGGCAATGAATGTAAATTTATATTCAGCTTTTCAGCACAAATAACAGAGATCTTTACCTTGACCTAGAGGAAACATGATAGCGTTTTATTCTGCAATCAAATGATCACTAATGCTGTTCACTACTTCTGATGAGATGCTCCGGTCTAAACTGTGCTCAGGAGTTACATCCCCAGTGAAAGCCATTTTTGGCCTTCAGTTATCAACAGTCTGATTACAGTAAGTACTGGGACAGCCTTGAAGTGTTGCTGTTACAACAGCAGAACACAGATGAGCTTACAATTCACTAAAAAACCAAAAATGAGTATTCGCCGTGTCTAATTGTATTTGACTTGATAAAAATAATAGCGTATTCTAGCATAGCAGTATTCCTTGGCTGTTGTATATTTTTAAATAATAAAAGTTGTTTAAATAGCGATTGAATTCTGAGGCTAGCCTTTAACTACTTGGTATTTTAACCCCTTGTGCAAACCAAAACTTGCCTGTCGCTACCAGCAGACACTAGTGGGGTCCTGCAAAATACCAGTTGCTGCCAGACTTCATTGAGAGCTGAGAGCAAGGTCAATCCTCAGATGTGATGCCGATTACGTTCCTTAAGCCTAAATAAAGATCCTAATAACAGTATTGATATCCTAATATTGCTGTATTGATAAAACGCTGAGTCTAGCCAAACAGCTACTGCGCAGCTCCCTTCTCTGCAGCTCGGTGGGCTTGATCGTCTGGGTTTGAGGAGGGAGCCAGCAGCGCTTCAGAGGAGTGGGACTCTGCCTGCGTGTTGGGAGTGGTTCCTAGAATTTGTACACATGTTTTCTGTAATCTTTGAGAGTTACAAAGGCAAATCCCATGAATACCACTGGCCAGGTTTTGAAATGGTGTTTAGGTATATCCTGGGACTGGATAAATGCTGTCGTATTAATTTCCCAATAAAATTGGGAATTTGTTTTTGACTTCAGCCCTGCTATAAGGCTGTCCCTTGGCATATAAGTCTTGCAAAACCTGGTGCTACATGTCCACTGCCATGTGAGGCTGCTTTTTTGACTTACCTTTTGTTTTCCTTTTTAAAAACTTACAGAAAGTTTATAATGCAATTTTATTTTTCAAGACTACAGGAATTTATAAAATGCCTTTACCACCCATTGAAACCTTTAGTACTTGTACTTATAATGCACTGTGTATTTTAATAAATGTGCATACAAATAAAATATATTCTTACAGTAGGATTGGCTAACACCTTGATTTCCTTACTGCGCAGAACCTTCCCTGTGATCCTAAACAGCGCTGACACACGGAGCTGAACTGGTGAGAGGAGACAGAGCAGCGGGTCCCCCTAAAGCAGGGCAGTGGGCGTTCAGCAGCGCTCTGTCTAGCTTCTTCATTTTCTTCCAAGTGCCCCATTTTTTTTACAGTGTGAACTTTAGGAAGATTCTCTGAAATGGCATGTCACAAGGTGGGTCGATGTGGATTTCAGTCTTTCATGTTGCCCGCCACAGGCCTGTTAGTTACTAAGTTTTCTGATAGCGAGTTGGTGAATTAATCATGGGTGTTTGACTGAGGTAACTGACTGCTGGAGTGCAGCATAGGCATTTTCTGGGAAGTGCTGTAAGCAGCTTCTCATTTTCCTCTTACCCCAGCGCTCTGTGGGGGTCACACACCTGAGACAAGCTGTTTCAGCTCTGCTCTTTTCCATCATCTGTGCTGGGTACGAGTCCTGCGTGCTGAGCTTCATGTAACGGAGATGGAAACTTTTTCAAGAAAATGAAATCTTTTTACTGCATTTCAGTTGAGGTGTGAGAGGGCTTTGTACCCTGCCAAACCTATAGCGGGGTTTTTCTCATCTTTTGAACTAGCCTCTTTTGAAACCTCATTCTGGAAGTATAATTCTCACTGCATGCATTTTTTTAGATTTTTAAATTTTTTTTTTTTAGACAGGAAGTCTGGTTGAAAAAGATGGGGTTGAGAGCCAGTGGGGGAAGAGATTGACATTTCCAGGTTATATCTTAGATTCCCAATGTTTTATTGCCAGGTATCCAGGCAGCCCACTGGGAACGGTGCAGGGTGCTGAGATACTGAGGTGGCCCCTAACAGTGTAATCACAGTATCGCTCTTCCAGGAATGTCTCCTGCAGATGAAAATCATGCTCTGTTCCCCCACTCACCTTCCCCAGCTTGTTAGTGCAAGCTCAGGAGTTACTGTGCTTATGTGCCACCTGCCCTGCTGCAGCTTTCCTTACCGCTTCATGGGTTGGGTCATCATTATTCCTCTGCTGCTCTTTAAAAGGGCTGCTCTCTTGTACTCTACCTTTTTGTTCTTAGCTTCAGGATAAATGTATGGGCAAGATCAGCTGTACTGCAAGATTTTCTAGCTTCATCTCAAGATGGGAAAACCAAAAGTCTGCACAGCACTCATGGCTGGAGTGGGGCTGTGGCAGAGAAGTGTTTTGCATTTTGGTTTTTTTCATCTAGTATGCTTGTGACTGCTGCTATGCTGTGGTTTCTGAAAACTGCCCCAACGTAGCACTGAGATCTCTTCCTGACAGTAATTTAGGCAGCGCACATACACATCACTTTATTCCATGTACATTAATATTCACTTGTTAAACATTAAGATTGTATCAAATATTAACATGACATTGAAAGCATAGCTCTATACCTTACAGCAAATTGTTACAGTGCCCCCCACGTTGGTTTTCCAGATCAGCTCCATGGTGATGATTGTGCCCTTTGGGATAGTGTTTGTCTCCATCACGCAGTATTTATGTGTAACTTACCACCTCAGGACTACAGCAACAAAAGCAGGATAAACTCACTCAGGTTTTGTAAAGTGTGCATGGTATGAAAATAGTCCTTGTTTGTGTTTCCAACTTGTGCTCACAGCACAGCACGAGCTGGCAGTCTAGGGCTGTTCTTAGCCAGCTTTTCTGCCACTGGGCCTCCTTACCGAGCAACAGCACAGCAATGTTTTTTTTCCAGGAAGCATACCACCAACAGACAGAGGCACTTCTAGTTCAGGCATCAGTACTAGTGCAGGTGTGCCAGATACTTTTGGAGTAAAACACACAATTTCAGTTCTTAAAGTACAAAAAAGGTCAGATTCAAAGCAAGACCCATACACTGAAGTATCGGCAAGACACTGATGGAAATGGAGAACTGTCTAACAGCCAGGTGAGCAACGGGGGCAGGGTACAGATGTACATAACCTTGCCCCTTCCATGGGAGTAATTCAGACCCTTGCAAAATGATGGTAGAAGTCAGCAGATGGCAATTACTGTGTTAATAAGCCCTGAGTGTACAACATGGCCACAGTCTGAGAGAGAGGGAGGAGGTGTCGCTACAGGAGGGGAGAAGAGAGTGACTGAAAAGCAGCTTTCTAAACAAAATCAATTCATTACAAAGCGGCTACAAATGTCTGATTCCCACACCATGCTGCATTTTACATACCACATCCTTATAATATACATGTAAATTATTTTGTATGAAGACTTTACTTTCCAGAACTCATATAATAAAATGTTACAGGACACACTGATGACATTTAAAAGCAATTTGCTTACTTTAATAGATACTGTAAAACCCAGACATTTAAAACTAAGTGCAGAACCCAAGCACTGACATCAAGCCTACCCAGGAAATATTAAAATGCAGCTAGATACACAATTAGAGAAATAGCATTTTTTTCTTTTACACAATTCATATAGACTGTATAATAAAAAAACCAGAATTTATTGAGGCTGGTTTTATTAACAAGCTCAAATAAATGCAAAACTAAAAAAAAAAATCTCAAATAATACAAAAAGTTTTAGACAAAAGTAAACAGCAGCAATGAGAATGGAAGTTTATTCCACTCTATTTTTGAGCTATACTACACCCAAGAGTGCCGAGCTCAGCCAGTCCTTTAGATGCAATAACTTTGGGGTTTGTGGCCACACTTTTCGTGGTATTGTGAGTCTTATAAATTCCAATTAATCTGTCTGCTATCTCAAACATGTTGTTTCGCAGGGAGATGATGATGAATTGTGCATTTTTCGTTTGCTCCTGAAACAGAAGTTATTTGTATTAGCCCACAGTATTTCAAAAAAGCTCTGTTCTTGTATGATCTCTATACGCGGGTTTTAGGAACTAAGGAATACAACCCTATATGTAGTTCTGTCATTCAACAAATCCACAGGTGCCGAGGCCTCAGAGCTCCTGCTGTCCATAATCAGTACGAGCACAACATGCTCCCAGCTTGGCTATCAGCATGAAGCACTGAAATTTACTTACGCATGAGTTTCCTCTTTTTATCTTTTACTTGACTTATTCAAGTGAATTCAATTAAATACACATAATTTCTTTCCAGAATTGCAATTCACCACAGTTTTAACGTGAATTCCACAAGACTGACCGAACCTGGGTATTACTGAGTTACCTGAATTGTTACAGCAAGGGTTGCTTTAAGAATAAAAAGGAAAACAAACCTATTTCCATGCACTGAGAATGGGGAAAGCAACCCCTTTGCTAATGAGGACAAGCCTTGACAAACACTAGTTCTGTGACCCTAAGGCAGAACAACAATAGATAACAAAATAGCTAAACTTGGTGGTGCTTTAAAAACAAAACAAACTTTATCCTTAAGAACCCAGCAGTATCAGTGTGGGGCCTCCCACGGGGCTCCTGAGAGCACTGAGCAGGAGCAGCAAAGCAACTGTACAACTCTGGCTCCATTCTTGCTGTGGCAAGCTGGGACCCAATAGCTTGCTGGTCAGGCCACAAGAAGGGAGGAAAGTGCAGTAGGAGAGAGCAGAGCAGCATCTTAACTAGGCAAAAAGAAAAAGTAGAGCTTCTCTGCGGCAGGGGGCACAGCGTGGCAACACCAAGGTGTAGCTGCTGCTGCTGCCGCATCGGAGAAATCCAGTAAGGACTGAATGCAAACTGCATAGGATTACCAGGTTGGGTAAAATCCAGCCCGTAGCATACAGCATGGCACGGGGGGGGGGTCCTGATCCCTGATCAGAGATCTCATAATATCCAACAATGATGTGCTGACGTGGATGGAGCTGGTTATGCAGGTAGGCCATTGCGCTGCAACAGGACCATCCAACCCACTCAGCAGTTAGGGGTGTGTCCCTGCAGACTGCGAGGCTGGGCAGACCGAGGGCTGGCCACCTACCTATTTTAACAAAGCAGCTATAATCACTTTGTGGGAAGGTACAGCACACACACGTGCGCTATATGTTGCATGTACGTACTATATGCTATGATAGTGTGTACTATCCTCTTCTCCTAGGATAGTACTAATTCAGAAGTTGTATACAAAATATGGAGCTATAGCTATATACTAAGCTATAATTTGCATTTAAGAGCTAAACTATACTAAGTTTCAAATTTAGTTGTTAGTCTACACTGCAGTTGAAATTAAAATCTTTGCTCTACCACATCACATCTGGGTGATGGACCCTCCTTTGTGAAAAATACAGGGATTGTGGAAGCAGAGTTTAAAACTACAGTTGCAGACAGGTATCTTCAAAGCGTTTCCCTAATTTTAAGTAGCTAATCATAATCTTTGGCACTTCTAGGGTGTTCCCAAAACTGGTGGTTATGCTTTGGATAATTCTGAGAACTAAGTTTAAATTAACAATCAGAACTGTAGCAATGTAAATGTTTGCTTGACTTAAATATGGTGACAACAGAATTTTTAAAGGCATGAAAGAAAACAACCACTAATAAAGACACAGATCAAAGAAGCCTGTGGGAAACAGCTCATGCTAATGAAATGGAAGTATAAAGCCAGGGAACCTCAGCTGCACCCGAGAATGAAGTCATGAGCTTGGATACACAAACACATTACTAAGAGCTACGTAAATTATTGTGTCTCAGCTGACTAGAGCTGATTATTTTGGGGAAAGTATCTATATTTTAAAGAGAAAGCAGTAGCAGCAAGGATACATGGAAATGTGGCACCTTTGGCAAACTCCAGCACTCTTCAGACAGCTTTTGAAACAATACAATCAGGATTTGGAGAGAGCCAACTTGTAGATCCTCTATTAGTTGCCTCATTTCAGGAAAGCATCAAACTTAGCAGCTTAGAAAAAATATGCAGAAAGCAACATTCTAAGCACCTTTCTGGAAATCTGCTTAGTACATGGTTTCCACCTAATTATTTGAAAACACTCTTATCATTCCAGATTTTTAAATCTGGCCGTAACTGTGTTACCACTTTGTCTTTTCTGGCAGAGGAGAAA